AAGTCCTGCTCCAGGCCCTCAGCCCAAGTATAGTGATTTCTATAAATTTAAACAGAACTTTGCAAAACTAAGCAGCTAGGCCAGGAATGGTAGTGCACGCCTTTAATTCCAGTACTGGAGAGTCAGAAGTAGGTAGATTTCTCTGAGGCTAGCAAGTTCCGGATCAGTCACGGCTACATACTAAGATCCTGTCTCAGAAACAAACAACAAAAACAAAAACTAAGCAGAGTATTTGCTAAATTGGTAAAACAATTTTCTGTATATAACTAGTTCCATTAATTTGAGAATCAAAAAAACTAAAAACTCAAATACTCTGGAGATACAGAAAAAAATTTTTTTTAAATCTGAATTTCCTTATGGCATTTAAAGTAGTCAGAAATTATAGGAAGAGGGATTAAAAAAGAAAGAAAGAAAGAAAACTAGGCAGGATAAACTGTCCCAACAATCTCAAATAGAATATAGACAAGCATCAAGTGAAGCAACAAATGAGAAGAATACTAAGTGGGTTTAGCTATTTGTTTTACCAATTCAACAATAAGCAACTTTTTAAGTTATCGAAGGGGTAGAAAAGACACTATCCCAAAATGAAAGGTATGTGTGGGAGTGTGGAGTAAGTGTTTTAAAACACTAAGATTGTGCTACCCTACAAAAATATTTAGGTTTGACAGACTAATTTATTAAGATCTGAAAACAATATTCTCTAGCTTTTAGGTCAATACTAAAAATAAATACAGAATGCTATTTCACATGGCACTTTTGAGTGTCTCCAACAGAATGTGCCTTTAAATATGGATAAATAAGTCAAACCAGTAGCTATTTTAAGATGCCCCTGACAGAGGCTGATGCCCTGTGGGTCCAACCCATTGATCTGTCAACTGCAATGCTCAATCTCTGCTTATCTGCCAAATGCAACTCATCCCACAATACACTCTGGCTCAAGAATTTTAAAAACCAGGTTGCAAATAACATGCTCCACCCAAATACAATGTCCTGTCCTGTAAGACTTGTCATAGTCTTCTGGTCCCCATGAAAACTACCTAACCATCTAGAGAACATGAAGATCAGTTATCAAAAGACTAGTCATGATACTTTTACTACTGGTACAAGTCAAACTCAGCTGACAAGCATCCACTCAACAAGTGTTTTCTGAGTTATGGTTGTGCCAGATATTAAGGCTAAAAAGAGAAACAGGACAGAGTCCTTGCTTCCCATGAGCCAGAGAAGTAGTTGGACATGATTACAAAGACAGTAACACAACCACAGCCCTTACAGGCTTGTTACTAGGAATCCATAAACAAATGCCAACTGTTTATTCTGTTTTGTTCTGTTCTGTATTGTTTTGAGGGTTGAACAAGAATTCCAGGAAGGCTCTCTATAGGTGAACAGAAATGAATATAATACTGAGAAAGAAGGTTTTGCAAGGCAGGAAGCAGAAGAAAAAGGGTATCTTACAACTTAGTGTAAAGGGACCACAGATATTTCAATAAAGCTACTTCACCTTAATGTTGAACAAGCTGACAAGATGATTTTAACATGTTTAATAAAAAGGCCTACAACTAATAAGTGACAAAGCTGGGACCAGGGTCAGAGGTCCCCATTTTTTTTTTCATTTTTCTTTATTAAGAAATTTTCTACTCCACATACTACCCACAGTCCCCCCCTCCTCCCTCCTCCCACCCACCAGCTCTCTCTCCCAAGTCACCCCGAATCCCCACATCCCCCAAATCAAGGTCTCCCATGGGGAGTCAGCAGATCCAGCACACTGAGCCTAGGCAGGTCCAAGCCCCTTCCCACTGTACCAATGCTGTGCAAGGCGTCACACAACAGGCACCAGATTCGCTGAAGCCTGCCCATGCACCAGGGACAGATCCCAATCCCCCTGCCTGGGTGCCCCCCAAAACAGTTCGAGCCAAACAACTGTCTTCCGTATCCAGAGGGCCTAGTCCAGTCCCATGGGGGCTCCACAGCCACCAGTCCACAGTTCATGGGCTTCCACTAGTGTGGCCGGTCATCTCTGCACGTCCTCCCATCATGATCTCGATATCCCCTGCCTGCAGTATCTCTCCTCTCTCTCATCAATTGGATTCCCAGAGCTCAGCATGGTGCCTGGCCATGGATCTCTGCATCTGCCTCCATCAGTCACTGGACAAAGGCTCTATGATGACAGCTAGGTTATTCACTAGGCTGGTCACCAGAGTAGACCAGTCCAGGCACCCTCTGGACCATTGCCAGCAGACCAAGGTAGGGTCATCCTTGTGGATTCCTGAGAGCCTCCCCAGCACCCTGCCTCTTCCTATTCCCATTATGTCCTCATCTATCATGGTATCTCCCTCCCTGTCCTCCCACTCTGTCCCCATTTTGTTACCTACTTTAACTAGCTATTTAAAACTGGTTACCATCTTCCAAAAAAGTCAATTAAACATTGGCAGGGTGGGGTGCGCCCATAATCCCAGCACCCAGGAAGCTAAGACAGAAGGATCACTGGTGGCCTAGCACAATTGTAATTCAGCAGGTGTTTGTTAGGTGAAGCCCAGGTGAGAGTGTCTCAAGAAAGCCAAGAACAACTCAGTAGGGGAGCAATTGCTTAGCATGCACAAGACCCTGAGTATATGATCCCCAGAACATCAAGGAAAAAAATTTAAAGAAAATAACATTTTTCAGATTCATTGGGATGTGTATGGCCTCTAAAAATTGCTGTGGGATGTTCTGTATGTTAAATGTGTTGCTCTGATTGGTTAATAAATAAAACATTGATTGGCCAGTAGCCAGGCAGGAAGTACAGGCGGGACAAGCAGAGAAGAGAATTCTGGGAACAGGAAGACTGAGGAGGAGAGACCCTGCCAGCCACCGCCATGAGAAGATGTTAAGATACCGATAAGCCATGAGCCACGTGGCAACTTACAGATTAATAGAAATGGGTTGATTTAAGATATAAGAACAGTTAGCAAGAAGCCTGCCACGGCCATACAGTTTATAAGAAATATAAGTCTCTGTGTTTACTTGGTTGGGTTTGAGCAGCTGTGGGCCTGTCGGGTGAGAGAGATTTGTCCTGACCGTGGGCCAGGCAGGACTGGGGAAAACTCTAAGCTACAAAAAATAAATCCCCTGATTTTACATCATATATACCTTTACATTTACTGACAGTTTTTTAAATACTAAAAAGAAGAGCACAGCACCTTTATCTTGTTTTAATCTTTAATAAGTCTTTCCTAATAGGAAGTTAAAATTCAGTTTTGTAAAATGTTGTATTAGCTGGATGAGGAAACACAAACGGACACAGATATGACTAAAATTTGGGAGTCTAACCTGATATCTTTATGAACAACAAGATGACATTACCGACCAGACTGACTGTTCATCCAAGTGTTATTAGTTTAAAAGCTACCTAAAGATTAATCAGTATCAATCAAAAGGACACAGGACAGACAGACCAGAGCAGCAAGCTGCCTTTAGGGAGTTTGGGGAGAAAGGTGAGTCCAGAACTTTCAAACTATTTAAGGCATAATAAACAGTCGTGCGGTTACATGTACAACTGACACATGATACCCAGGCAGTAAATATATTTGTTAACAATTATGGTGTATTCAGTTACAAAAAGATGAAAAACATAATAGGCAAAGTTGTATATTTTATAAAATGTAGCTCTGTCAATAATTGAGAAAAAAGAAGAGGAAAAAAAATAAAAAAACCTTGGGCCAACGAGGTGGCTCAGCATGTAAAAATGAGAAGACGCCTGACACCGGCTCTAATGAACTAAGTTTGCCCTGGGATGCACACAGTGAAAGGAGAAATATGGTGATATTTCATTTGTGCTGAAATGTGATTTTATTTGTATGTTAATAAATGAAGTTGCCTGGGGGTCAGAGCTAATAGCAAGCCATTTAGCAGAAGTCTGGCAGTGGTAGCACACGCCCTTAATCCTGATCACATGGCAGGCAGAGTCTGTGTGTTCAAGGACACAGCCAGCTTGGAGACAAACGCCTTTAATCTCAATACCAACCATAGAGACCTGGAGGTCTGTATAGACAGGCAGTGACGAGGAGGTCATGTGGTTGGGTTTACAACCAATGAGAAAGCAGAACAGAAAGTCAATAAAAAGACAGACACACAGGAAGTAGGTAGGTCTCTTTCTGAAGAGGACGACAGCGAGGGGTAAGAAGGCCATCTTGGTCTTAGCTCTTGGCTGCTGCTCTGACCTCTTGGGCTTTTAACTCTGCATTTGGCTCTGTGTTTCTTATTTAATAAAACCATTCAGAATTATATCTACAGAGAAAACCAACCATAGTAAGGGCACCCCGTGGTACATGTGCACACCGCCCCCCATACACACACAAGATAAAATGTAAAAAAAAAAAAACTACAAGGTGAGTGAGAAACAATATCACACACAAAGCCTACTGTTGGAGCTATTCCTCACCTTGGAGTGAACCTTGGTCATCTACTTGAATGAGTTTCTAGGCCCTATTACTTCTATACCAGAATCCAAGTGTGACCTGGCTCTAGCATGAAGCTAGTGTCTGAGGTCAGGCACCCCACTGAGGGTTTTCTGCTGTTTCCCAGATATTAAGATCTTCTGTAAGGGTTTGCAAATAGTTTCAGTTTGTTCATACTACAAGTGTTAGAAACTAGGAGGCAAACCACTCACTCTTGAATGCTAACACAAATTCCAAAAAGAAGTTAAAATATATTGGATCTATTTTTTTTTTAATTTCACCAGATAGTAAAGTTAACAGAGAACATGGTTTTAAATAAAAGAAATGCTAACATTGTAGTATCAGTTATGAACTGAAATATATTCCAAGTAAAAAGTTGCATAATTTATGTCAAATTTACAAACAATTTATTCTAAAGATTAGATCATTTAGTCAGTTATCCAACTAGAAAGTATATACTTGTGTGGTAAATCAAATTAACAAGATACCAACTGTTCATGAGACAGCCTAGTTCCACCCTACCACAAACACTCAAAGCAGCAAACACTGATGTACTCAGCTCCTTACCTGCAGCTCCTTGGAGACTCGCTCTAAGTGACTGGTTATCTTTTTAATCAGATCACTGTACATCTGTTCCGAGTGCTGCTGGCATACACACTTATATACACAACTGCAAGAAGAAACAGGCACAGAAACCAAGACAATGAAGAAGCATTCCCCACAATCCCATGTTAGGGCACACTTTCAAAATAAAACTCACCAACCTACAATAGGTGATCAACCAGAAACTGGAAGAAAAATCTACCCTCCCCAGTCAGTGTTCTGATGGGAAGGACATTGCAAACTAACTTCAAATGACCTGGACAGTACACATTAAATAAGCATAAAATAATCCAAAATGAGGATCTATAGTCTGAATGTGGTAACTCCTTATAAGTCAGCTTCTCTCTCACTTTTTTTTAAAAATACTTGTTAAAATAAGGAAGAGAGTGATAACCAGAAAAGAGAAAGTTTCTAACTCACAAAGGTATTTGCAATACATTGTGGTGGTATTGTGTTCCCCAAAATATTGTGCACTCTAATAAACGTATCTGGGGTCAGAGAACAGAACAGCCACAATATTAAACATAGAGGTTAGGCAGTGGTAGCACACGCCTTTAATCCTAGCATTCCAGAGGCAGAAATCCATCTGGGATCAATGTGAGTTCAAGGCCACATTGGAAACAGCCAGGCATGGCAACTCACGCCTTTAATCCCAGGAAGTGAGCCTTTAATCCCAGGAAGTGATGGCAGAAAGGTATATAAGGCTTGAGGACCAGGAACTAGTCTGGTTAAGCTTTTAGGCTTTTGAGCAGCAGTTCAGCTGAGATTCATTCTGGATGAGGACTCAGAGGCTTCCAGTTTGAGGAAACAGGATCAGCTGAGTTGTCGAGGTGAGGTTAGCTGTGGCTTGCTCTGCTTCTCTGATCATTCAGTATTCACCCCAATACCCAGCTCCAGGTTTGTTTTTATTAATAAGACTCTTTAAGATTTGTGCTACAATACCTCCTCCTTGTACACCAGTCATGAGGAACAACATAGCTGTCACTTCTTCCTGTCACTGTGCTGATCTCCTTTCCCACCCCAGTTCCTAATCTACTGCTTCCATTTACCGAGAGCCAGGTAACAAAAGGCTGAAGAGAGTTAGAACTACATATCGGTAAGCATCAACAGGATGTATTTTTAGGGTCTCCTAAAACCATGTATTTTTACAGCAAATACTCCACTAGTTTTTCTCACTGGCCTGGGAGGTTCTTCATTGTATATGATAGGCAAGCAATCAAGCAGAGGTGGAAGTTAATAGTGTGGTATATACTCTATCTTGATTTGAAAACCACTTCTGAACCAAACCTCCAATCCACTAGGTGGAGAATATATACGTCCAACTTCATCTGACATACTTTATATATCACATTCGTGTTGTCACCAATCAAATCCCATTCAAACTTGAACAAATTAAATGGTGACTTACCTGTAAATCTGTTCGTAGGATATAGGTATATAATCACCAGGACTCTGGGTTAAAAGTTGATCTATGGCACCATCTAATTTTGGCCAGTATGTGCTCTTATAATCTTCAATTGTTATAACATTCATTACTACAAATAAAATTAAAATAAAAATTACTATATGCAACATGGAAATACAAATCATAGCAAGTGTATACTCATTTAAAAAAAATCTATCCTTTTATAACTTACCCATCCCATTCCAATTTTAAAAGAGAGAGAGAAAGTTAGGAGGTGGAAGCGGAGGCAGGCAGGTATCTCTGAGTTCTAGGACAGCCAGATCCACATAGTGAACTCTAGACAGCTCAGTGACACTGTCTCAAAAAAAGAAGAGGGGGGAAGTGAGGGGGGGAAAAGAGAAGAAAGGAAGAGAGAGGAGATAAGGAAGAGAGAATGAGCAGAAGAGAGACAGCATAAGCACATGCATGCACGCGCGCGCGCACACACACACACACACACACACACACACACACACACACACACACAGTCAGGATGTTAAGCAGCCATTGGCTACTTTCTCAATTTGCTGTAAGTTTCTATGATCAGTGAAGCATTCTCAAATATACCCTGATCCTCAAATACAGATTGTCACAATTATGTGACATAATGAGTCATCAATGAACTACAAGAAGGTTCCAAGAACTGTTCCATAATTAATCTTTATAGACATCCCTGGGGGGAAAAAATCTACCTAATGACTGGACTACAGGGCCAGAGATTTAAATAACACTGTAGTCCCAAAAGAGGCTCCCACAAAATGTACTGAGATTTATGGTATCACAGTACCACTCAGACATACCTGGAACTTAACAAGCCCAAGGCAAAAAAGACAATGACCTAGAAACCTTGCAATGAAGGCTCATTTCATTTCAATGGACAGACTCAAACCCTCATCATGGATCCTTTCAAAGCCTTAGCAAGCTGTTCCTAAGTCCAGGGATAACAGGTGTTTTATAATAAGATACCAATGTTAAAAAGAGCTACCAGTGACTGATGGAAGCAGATGCAGAGATCCACAGCCAAGCCCCAGGCGGAGCTCCAGGAGCCCAAATGACGAGAGAGAGGAGGGATCATATGAGCAAGAGATATCGAGACCATGATTGGAAAAAGTACAGACACAACTAGCCAAACTAGTGGAAATACATGAACTGTGATCCAATAGCTGAGGAACCCCCATGGAACTGGACTAGGCCCTCCGGATAAGTGAGACAGTTGTTTAGCTTGAACTGTTTAGGAGGCCTCCAGGCAGTGAGACCAGGCTCAGTGCATGAGCCGGCTTTTTGGAACCTAGTGCTTAGGCTGAGACACTTTGCTCAGCCTTGGTGCAGGGAGGAGGGGATTGAACCTGCCTCAACTGGATGTACCAGGCTCTGCTGACTCCCCAGGGGAGACCTTGCTTTGGAGGAGGTGGGAATGGGGGGTGGGTTGGGGGGGGGGAAGGTTGGGGGGGTGACAGAAGGGAGGACAGGGGAATCCGTGGTTGATATGTAAAACAAATAGAAAATCTCTTAATAAAAAGAAAAGGAAGACAAGAAAAAAAAAAAAAAGCTACCTAAGGATCCCTAGATACCCAGGAAGATAAGAGGTAATAACTTCCAAATCAAGTATCTTACTGCTCATTTTACCAAAAACTGGGAAGCAAGATTAAGTGGCTTCCTCCAGAATACCTGGCTAATTCCAGACAGAGAGGCCAGGTCAGGGAAAGCCTTACTATTACATTACTAACATCTAACTTTAGTCATTAAGGATATGGATGGAGATGTGTGTGTGTGTGTGTGTGTGTGTGTGTGTGTGTGTGTGTGTGTGTGTGTGTGTGTGTATACCACTGCTATCATTTTATTCAATTGTCTCTAAATCAATTCACTTTTAGTGCTATAAAATGTATACTAAAGGGCACTTAAAGAATGACTTATTGACTCATAAGACAAAATGATAGTTTTTTTGTTTTGTTTTGTTTTGTTGTTTTGAGACAGGGTCTTATGTAGCCCGCAAACTCTCTATGCAGCCATGAATGACCTTCAACTTCTCATTTTCCTGCCCCTGCCTCCCAGGTGCTGGGATTATAGCTGTATGCCAACACATTCGGTTTCAGTATAGCATAATCTTAAGTACATTTTGGGGATGTAATTGAGTAGAATACTTGTCTAGTATATGAGAAGCCCTGGGTTCAGTTATCAACATCATTGGGTGTGGGGAGCAGTACTTAATGTAAGAAGCCATATCCAAAAGTCTCCATATTTGTAAGAGTTCCGTGTATATAATAGTAACATAGGCAAAACTATAAGGATAAAAACATGTCAGTAATTGCCAGGGAGTTAATAATAAGGAAAGAGCTTATTTATAAAGCTAACAGATATCTTTAGGGCATTGAAATGCTTTGTATGGAACTGAAATAACAATATACCGCTCTATCTGTGTCAGAACCAAAAGAATTGTACGCCATACAATGAATCAACAAAGCTGTAGGCTACAGAGGTAAAGATGAAATGGAGATGTGACAAGTCTAATTAACAAATGAATCACAGAGTCAACAATATATTGTGGAGCACTTGCCTAGCATGTATTAGACCCTGGGTTTGACTCTCCTCAAAACTGGGGGAGGCGGGGGGACAATTATCCTAAAGACTTAATATCTCTATTTAAAAAATTTAAGCTCAGTGGCTGACAACTCACCTAGCATGTATGAGGCCCCAAGTTTAATGCCTTAACTTTTGATTTAAAAAAAAAAAAAAGTGTTTCTTATATAGACTGGCATAGTGGTGCATTCCTGCAATCTTAGCACTTGGAAGGCTGAGGAAGGAGGATTGTCTGAATTGTATAGTAAGTGCAAAGCCAGCCTGGAATGTATGATGAAGAATCTTGTATCAATAAAAAGAAAAAAGAATGAAAAGTAAGTAAACTAGAAGATGTGAGTTCACAAAGAGACATTCCAATTCAAAATAAAACGTGTGACTTTCAAAACAACTGCCACAAAGCCTCAAAATACATATGGGAAAGATAGCAAACTCACACAGCCTGACTCCTACTGCAAAAGTAGTTAAACTGACCATTACTGCAACAAAAGGAAACTAAGTCTAAAACATGAATAGGTGGAACCCAGGACTTGGGAGATACTATACAGCTGTCAAAAACTAGGAAACTATTAGAAATATGTCATTCATGGCAGGCACTTTCATCAACCAAACTAACTTTTTAAAACTTGGCACAAGCCAGGAGTGATGGCACATGCCTTTCATCCCAGCACTCCAGAGGCAGAAGTAGGTGAATCTGAGTTGAAGGCCAACCTGGTCTACAGAGCAAGTTCCAGGACAGCTAGGACTACAGAGAAACCCTGCCGGAGGGCAGGGATGGGAAGGTGGTGTTTTGACACAAGCACCATAGAGAAGAAATTAAAAGCTAGTGCCCCAAATCTGAACTGCTGATGGGTAGTCAAAGTCTGTGAAGTGGACTAACAAAATAAATGCTTACTGGAGAAACAATCCAAGGCATACTATTTCCCGTTTGGAATTCCATTTCACATGGGCTACTGCAAATCAAGGTGGTCCTACTCCACAATCCTTTTGCATTTACTTCTTGTGCTTTGGCCAGGCTGGTCTAGCTACTGCAAAGACTGATCATTACACTTCAACAGTGGTTCTCGAAGCCTGATGACAGAGGGAGCATCACTGGGAAGGCAGTTTGTCATAGGAACTGTCAGACTCCACCTGTCTTATTAGGGTTTCCATTGCTATGATGAAATGCCATGACCAAAAAGCAAGTTGGGGAGGAAAGGATTTATTTGGCTTACACTTCCACACTGCTGTTCACTACTGAAGGAAGTCAGGGCAGGAACTCAAATAGGGCAGGATCCTGGAGGCAGGAGTTGATGCTGAGGACATGGAAGGTTGCTGTTTACTGGCTTGCTTAGCCTGCTTTCTTATAGAACCTAGGACCACCAGCCCAAGGATGATATCACCCACTATGGGCTGGGCCCTCCCCCACTGATCACTAATTGAAAACATGTCTCTCATGGAGGCATTTCCTCACCTAAGGCTCCCTCCTCTCTGATGATTTTAGCTTGTGCCAAGTTGACACACAAAAGCAGCCAGTCTACCACCCTAGGCCTGATCAGAACACTGGAGTTGGAAGAGACCCTAGAATCTGTTCAACACTCCCTTCACTGATGACCCTCAAGAATGCCTAAGTTTGAGAACCATGGGCCCACATCACATACAGCTCAGTGTAGCCAGGGAAAGTCATACCTATTTTCTTCTCTGGATTGCTAGTAAATGGTCTGTCATCTTGCACTGTGGTCAATTAAATGTAGAAATATATCAAAGACATTATTAAAAGAGGAGGCAGAAGTGTTTTCATAAAAACTCACCAAAGTTCCACTTGTTACCCCTATTCCCCACCAAGAAAGCTACCTTAAATAGTATTGACTCTCTGACTTGGTAATGACAATTTTAAAATAAGCCAAGCTTAGCAAGCTAAATTACATTTAAAACACAGCTTTTTAAATTAACTATAACTAATGACTAGGTACCCTAGGCTATTCATGACAGTGAGATACATCTGCTCCTGGCAGCACCAATTTATTTAAAAAAAGGATGATGGGCATTGAAGAACCTCCATATGGAGTTTGTTTTTGTTGTGGCAAAGCTAGCCATTTGGGCAAGAAACTGCCCTTGCCTCAACTGCGGACAGTATGCTGTCCAAACTGAACAAGTAGGACACAAAAGAAGGCAACCGCCGAACTTTGCCTAGACAAGGTAGGAGAGTCCTTCAAAATTCCAGCTTCACAGAAAAGTCTGTCAGATATTTTAGGTCCGTAGACCAAAGTTGGATGCCTCAATGTTACAGAGGAACCCTGGGGTGACTGTTCAGACAGTCAGATGTCTCTGTTGTTTCTTAGTTTTGGAATTTGCTTGCTCTGCACTTCTGTTTACTCAGGTAATATTGTATCCTTCTCGGGTCTCTGATGGGGTTGAAGATTAGATAGTTATAATTACAGTTTTCCTCAGTTATGATAAAAAGTAAATCAGGTACAAAACTTTGGACTCACCAATATAGGATAGATAATAGAGTATTTTCTCTGAATTTTGTAAATG